AAAAAAAAAGGAAAAAAAAAATTGTCTCTACTTTATTAACTTGAGCTCTAAACTCAAATAACATCATCTCCATCCAAAATATTCTGACACCTACAAGAACAAAATCCACCTTGGCACCTCAAGCAGTCATGCCCAAAATTTGTCTTTACAATTAGAAATAGTTGAGGTACTTGAAGGAGACCAAAAATATAATGGGTATTGTCTAAAATTAATCTACCCTACATTTACATACTACATATACGCATATATGTATATGGTACACAAAAACGGCACATATGGTGACCAAATTTCCTACCCACATCACGACCATCTCCAGTTTCTGGTTAATATGCCTAGAAGATTGATGCTTACCTTCTTAAGGCGTAGCAACAGATGGCAAAAATTTGCTGATTTATTGTTTTAACATGCTTTATTTAAGTAAATCTATATGTTTGTCTCCTTTTCAATATAACATGTATGTGTGTAAGGTTTTAATGATACAAGAAATACCTGACGCTAATGTCTGAGGACATGCACCTGCAAAACAGAACCCCGAAGTTTCTCCCCGGGATAGAGCCTCTTATGCTTAAGTCGAAATCGGTTTTTGACTTACGGTGACAGTTGTAGAGTATGAGTAGAGGAGAGTGTCTCATTACTTTGACCTAGGTCATCCTTTTATAGAGGTCGGACGACTTAAGTCTTTTCCGTGTAGACGGAGGTCTTCTGAGCCCACTAGCTTGGTGAACTATGGTCCACCAATTGGGCCACTTTAGACATTGGACCAAAAGTAAGGCTCTCCTGGACTTTGGGCCTAAATTGAAGTTGCCTTTATCCTTGACCTTGGACACTAACGGTCCTCGGAACACATGTGCCCCGGGTTATATTTTGCAGGCGTTGGAGCATACATTGCCATCACGTGTCCTCGGACTAACATCAAGTATTTCTTGTATCATTAGGTTTTATTTTACATAAATTCAGTTGAATCAAAATGAGTTGCTATGTTTTAAAAAAAGAATGTAGGTGATGGGTCTACTTCGAAATCTCAAGTGAACCGGTGGTAATGGGCTATGGTCTGCTCGAACCGTCTCCAAATCGCCTTCGATCCGCTACAAACACCTGCAAGAACTCAACACCGGAAGTGTTTCCGGTGAAGAGCCTCCGACACTCAAGTCAGTATGAGAGTGATGAAGTGAGCTCTGCTCAGTAGGAGCAGCAGCTGAGAGGAAAATGAATAGAGAGAGTAAAGTTAGGGTTTAGGGTTACCTCACTTCTTTATATAGGAGTAAAACACTCACTTGAAGTACCCAAAATACCCTAACCCACTTACATGAAATGTCCGATATGCCCTGGTTGGTTCGCATTCCATCCGCCTCTTAGTCAGCATCTAGATTCTTTCTTATCCCTTGCAGATCCACCCTTGTTTGGGGATTTCCTTGTGCTATGGCCGCGCGTCGGAACGCGGCAAAATTAATATTTATAAATTCCTTAACCGACTTCTACCAACTAGTAGTAGCAGTGAGTAAGGGTCGAACCCAAGGGAGTGTGAATTTTAATTGTAATTATTT